CTTGCCGTTTTTGTCATAAACACATATGGAGTGATTAGAATACCTTAATGAATGTCTTTTGACCAGCCATGATGTAAAAATGCTATTATACTGCTTAAAGTGATCTTAGTCTAGTTAAATGAGATGGTGCTATATATAAAAACAAGCATTGTGTGGTTGCTTCTATTCTACAAACAAGAAACCTGATGATCAGAGAGGTCAGTATATAAGGTCACACAGTAATTTACTAGAAGAGCTGATCCAAAAATTCAGCTCTTAAATCTCAGTCCAATATTCTTTTAGCCAAAACTCACTGTGGTCCAAACATGGGAATTTTCTTTGAGGAATAATTGTAATGGCATAAGGCATTCACACTCAAATAAGAATGTTACTAGAAAGAATGCATCTCTCCTTGTATATGGTATACGACACTCATTCAACAGGTTTACTGAGCACCTACTATGTGCTAGACCCTGAGGACAAAATGGGGCCTCACTGCTAATTTCATGGAGGCCCTGGTGGTGCAAACGGTTAACACTCTTGGTTGATCATAATACGATAAAACCTCATGGAAGCCACTGTTAAATAAAATTACCATTCTCATGTTGTTCAACCACAGTTAAAACAAACAAACAAACAAACAAAAAAACGAGATAAAATTAGATACTTTATAGCTCGGTGATTAATTATTCATTAAATATGAATTATAGAATCTGACTTTGTAGCTCAGCCGTCTAAGGATGATATTAGAAGTCCTATATGCAAGATATGGGAAATGTGAGGACTTCTGTTTCTTATTCAGTCAAAATGACAGGTTGGCCTAGAAACTGATACGCATTATCTCTGACCTTCAATATCTCTTGCTTCTATGGATCCATTTAGAACTGGGGGATAGAAACTAGATTGCTTTATTTCTAGAACTTCAAGGATATTCTTCATACATCCTTGTTCTAATGGATCAATCTACCTACCTACCTACTTACCTACCTACCTACCTACGTACCTATCTATCTAAAAGATGTTAGAGCAATGCTGACTGGGAAAGGGATAGGCTGAGAAGATTTTACATTTCTTTACTGCCCTTTCCTTGGACTAGGAATGACTTGCCTGAAGATGCCAAAATATTTATCTCAGCTGACCTGAAAATGGCTGACTGTGACCGAGGATGAAAAGCAAAGGTACGTTATTCATAAAAAGTACGATTACATCAATCAAATCCACAGATATGGCCCTGCAGAGATCATGATCTAACCACCGTGTCCAACAAGCCGTAAATAAAAACAACCTCTGTGAAACTGCCTCGCTAGTAACTTTCACCTATCACAGGGACATGGAAATTGTGATTTTCATATCAGTCTTCCTAACGCTAGATGGACAGAGCAAACAAGAAACTAACTCCTGTCAAAACATTAAGAGTATTCCATATAAATCAAAGTATCTATGAAAAACCTGATTCATATACAGAAATGGTAAAAACCATCAATTGTTGAGCTGCTGCCTAAATTTTTTTTATGCCTCTGGTTTAGAGAAATTTTCCTACCTCTGTTTAAACTCAACAGCTGTGTCCATGTAAAGTCGGCATTATTTATTCTAAGATCTGGACTTAATATAGATCAGGAAATAACTATATAGACACAGTCTTACCTATGTCTTGAGTTAAATGAACCAAGCTCACTATCTATGGTGAATCCAGGGCTGCATGCATTCTCTCCAGTAGAATGAATTTGTTTTAGCTGAAAAGATTAACTTTATTACTTTCTGTAGAGCTCCTCATATCTTCAGCCAGCTTATCTATTCCATTAGGCACTGATTTGCCTTGCTGAACTGAGCCACTAAGCTGAGCCTCTCTGCCAATTGAAAATTGGCCTTTAATAGAAGAGATAATGGTTTTAAGGACAAAACATATATATATATATATATATATGGAACAGCAATAAATACTCAATTTGGGGTAACTAATAAAGTTCTCCAACTTTGGAAGTTTTTGAGTTCTCAAGACACATATAGCTTTTATTATACATTTCCCCTCCCAGTTCTTATTGATGGCACAAACTTGAAAACACCAATAATAAAAAATTAAAAGTTCAGTAATTTACATACATCTAACCACTCCAGATTTTACAACAATAGAGTCTGGGCAGATAAAAATAATTTAATGTTTACATCTTCAAATTTATTCCTATCTTCATTAAAAAGAATGATATGACCATTTTTCTCAATATCTACCTACAGATCACATATCTCTGCTACAATACTTGACTCCTATATTGCACTATCCTCTTCAAAGATTCTGGGTTGGCCACTGCCCATCCAAGTGTCCTTTGGTTATCAATTTTACAATTTGGAACAACATGTTAGTGGCTGCAGTGACCCAAATAGATCCTCAATCGTATAACTATGGTCTTTGACATATCATCTTGGTCATCTCTAAGAAGCTCTAACATAAAAATTTGTCCTAGTCATTCTATAATGTGAAAACACTAATAATCCAGGCAAAGTCTCCTGTTTAACATACATGGAAGAGAACCTCTTCTCATTCCTCATATTTGAGGAGACCACATACTGTCAGGAGGCTTTTAAGGGGATAGTGTTAAGGTGTTAAGGAATGATGTTTTTCCTACACAGTTCTCCTGTCAATTTCCGTATTAAATTTTCTCCTCCAATTTAAATGTATTTATACCCTCTAGCATGAAATAGAAGGTAAATAGCTTCCATCTGTTTCTTATATAGATGAGGATACCTCCAGGTTCTCCAACAATGTCTCTATAACCCCACTGTTGCAGATTTTTTCTAAGTCGTCGGGAGCAGATAGGCTATTTTGCAGCAGGTTAACACTTGTCTTGATGAAAAAAGACATTTTCTTCAAATGACACTGTGACTTTGAAGCTACTTTTGTTCTTTCTATAATTTTTTTGTCATATGTCTCTACTAGTCCTTAATTACTATAATCTCTAGGGCAGTATTAGTTCACCTAAAAATAATACAACAGCTTTCTATCAGTTTTATGAATTGCCAAATACAGTAGAAGGTAACTGAAGTTAGGCACAGAAATACAACCCAATAGATTAAAAAAGCAGTAAAAAATAAATAATTTTCATATTTTTTGCATTGGTTTCATCTTAGAGATTCCTGTCAAGCTGAGGCTAAAACTACCTTTTACCTCTGTAACCTTAAAGAGTCTGTTGAATAAAATCAAATATTTAAATTTTCTATATAAACTATATCAATATTTTTTCCATTTTTATTAAATTATCTTTTTAGTTTCAATAAAACATCGCAGAGATAATTTATATTCCCCTGTGATTCCGATAAGAAGCAGACTTTTCTAAGTATCAATATTTTTCAGACTACAAGCAAGTAAATCCCATATTTAGTTCAGAAGCACACTAAGAAGTGGAAATACTTATAAATAGAGTATTACTTTGATATATACATAATAATTACTCAGTTTTAAGGCTCATCTTCCCCAAAGCTAAAATGATAACACTTTCAAATTGGCACTAAACTGATTTTATTCAACTTTTTAAAACAAACTTATGTATAAATATAAAAGCAGTATGACATTTAGATATTTCCAAAAGCCCAATTATATATATCCTTCCCTTGGATGTGCAAAACTCTGAGGAATGCAAGATTATAAGATTTTTAGGAATTACAGGTTTAGATTTGGTAGAATTTGAATTTTTTTTGTTTAAAAATGGCTTCTATAGTTCATATTTTTAATAATATCTTCCTATGAAAAAACTTTCTGTGACTATATTATTATAGAATGTTATAGGTGTTCTGAAAAGGGCGTCTTGATCCCTCCACCCCCAATGGCTGAATTTTCTTTACTGCTTGGGCTTTCCTGAAAAGAATCATAATGAGACAGCAAAGAAGATTGTTGCTAAAGGAAGGAGAATCACTGAATTTTTGTTTCAACAGTAAATAGGAGCCACTGATATTTCAAATTTTGGCAAGAACTTTCTTCTAAACCTGCCTAAAAATATATTTTATTTGGGGTGAAGGAGGGATATCAGAAATCAGTGGCAGAAAATATAAGAGGCAAGAAAAAGAGAGGCAGAAAAGAATGTCAAGGTTAGAAAGCAAAGGATTTCTTTGGGTATTGAAAGGGCATTACAAATTTGTTCATGTACAATTAAGTTACTGCTTTCTTCCTTATTTCTTTCAAGGGTGGGCGTTCTCTTTTATCTCTTCATTGACAAGAAAAGTTGAACTATTCCATGGGTACTATCAATATCAAAGGGAAATATTAAATAATATTTGTATTATTTCCTTCCAAGCTAATTGCTTTGTCCAAACCTCCCATGTGTAAGCAAGGTCTAGTTCACCAGGTCAAGGCAGAACTCAAAGTCCCCTGGCTGGAAAAGATGTGAATGTTTGCTGTGGAGCTGAAGTTACGAGTTAATAGGTAAAGCTTTAATAATAACTCCATTCAATAAAATTAACCTTAAATAGAAGTTCTAAGACTTTATGAAGTTATTTATTATCAGCAATGTTTGGGCAATATTAGCTAGAGAAGAAACTTGATTTTGGAGTGAACATGGGGCAATGGAAGAAGATGTCATAGAAAATTCTTGGGGAAGAAGGAAGCAGTTAAAAGTAGACATATTAAAAAATAGTCAAAGAGTTAGTGGTCAGGATCTAAAATGGAAAATTAAAATTCATGTCATAAATGTAACTTCAATCAGTTAAATTAAAATCCACAAAGCAACAGAGGCATATTCAAAGAAGATCTGTTAGGAATCACCTGACTGAATGATTCTCCCATATGGTTCAGTTTGTTTTTATCAAATAATAACCAGAAAGAATGGACATGGCGTATGATTTTCATTATGCTTTAAAGGCTGGCTTTTTCAGATAAGGTTCAAACTCTTAGCAACAATCATCACCAGTAATTCTTTACTACCTCCAACCTTCCCTTTATTTTAGGAACTCTTAGCTTATAATATGAGGAAGTCAACAGAATACTTAATTAACGGGATTTTAATTATGGCAACAAATACGTGTTCATCGCTTACCTGCCCGCCTTTAGGCTGGTATTTGATGTTGTCGGTTGATCCGATTTTGGACTTGACATTTTTCAGGTCTGGCAGTGGCTGGTTAATAAGCCGAAGCTGCTTGGGAGTAGCGGGAGATTTTGGAGGAGTACGTATGATGGCGACCTTCTTCTCACTGGGCACCAAGATGGCAGATTTGGGGGTTCCTGGTGTGTGTGGGGTCCTGGGGTAGCTAGGGGTTCCAGGAGTGCCTGGTGTGCGTGAAGAATAACTTGGTGGTGTGCCAGGAGTGATGGCGGTTGATCCAGGGGTAGTGGGTGTTGAGGTGCCACTTTTTCCTGCTCTGCGAATTGGCTCTGACCCTATATAAACAAGCAAACAAAACGAAACAAAATGAAAACAAAAACAAAACCCACATCATTAGCATATTCTCCTCAAGACATCCCTCTTCTCATAGATTGTTAGAACTCAATGCCTTTAATTTCGAGAGCATTTAGAAATATATATGGATCATCATAATAACCCTCAAAAAGGTAACAACCTCCTTTCTTTTATAACCTGGTTCTTTTGAACTGATGTTGCTATCAACACAAGGATAAAACCTGGTTATTCTACTTAATACTCACATGATTCTGTCAAAAACTATTTTCTACTGGTATGATCATTAAGGCATATGGATCTGTCTTTAGCTGAAAAGAGTTTACACTGAATGATATGTGGGCTACCACTTCTCTGCGTAAATTTATTCAGAGAGCCAGGTGAAGCCACAACATAGAGCCATGTATTCAGATCACAGTTTTTGCCTGTGTAGAATGGTATTTGTTCAATTGTGTTTCAATATTACTTTCTCAGTTTCTCTTGAGGAGCACTGTGAGTTGTTTAATACAGGCTGTTCATATTATGTCATATATTGTCCTCCTCTGTCCCGTACTGTGTCCTTTATAAGGAAAATTCTCTCAGCTTTTAATATAACAAAAAATCTATTTCTTTTCTAAGAACTGAATACATTTCAGAACCGAATCATACATTCACGATGAATCTTGTACTGGATTGTGCTTGCTCCTTTGCTTTCATCACTAGTTTGGGAGTTTGGAGTCAAATCAATAATCTATCACTGTCAATTATGTAGGATATTCTGAGATGCATTTCTTTGCCTCAACGTGACCTCAGCCTCATTTTATTATTTTACTCTCCCCCTCATTCCTATACTACATTTCTCTCATACTATCTTTTTGAATGTAAGCATTTTTTAATGCCATTTCAAATGCTATTTTGAAGGAATGCTAATATAAATAAGAGTATAGTATCTTGCAGATTTCAAAGCACTTTTATGAATACATTTTTCATTTGATAACCAAGCAAATATGCATGATAGTTAGGGGGTAGCTCTTATTATTATTCCTAATTAAGAAATGAGGACATTGAGGCTCATTTGGCTAAGTGATAGCTAAATTCTAAGCCAGATAAAATATCTACCTTTTGGGGATTCACATTAAAAAAAAATTCCATCTGTAATTAGTTGTTTAAAATTTGTTTAACCTTCTCTTAGCCCTAAAAATCTTTCCTCTTAAAATAATACATTGGCTCTAATAATAGGACACTCTTATTTACATTGTTTACATTAATTATATAAATTCTTTCAGATTTTTATATTTTATAGAAGGGACATAATTTTTATTTTTTACTCCTAAATATGTATATTATGTAAAGTCAATGAAACTTCTAGAAATTTTATAGAGGAAAAAGATATAACTCATTCATTTTAAAATCAGTGAGGTAGAAGGAATATTGTTGTTAGGTGCCATCAAGTTGAGTTCTACTCATAGCGAAAGCGAACCCCTGAGACAGAGTAGAACTGCCCCATAGGGTTGTCTAGGCTGTAATATTTATGGGGGCAGAATGCTAGGACTTTGTCCCACAGAAGGGCTGGGAAGGTCTAAACTGCCAACCTTTTTAGCAGCCAAGCACTTAATCATTGCACCACCAGAGGCGTAGCAAGGGTAACAAGCGCCCAGGGACAAAGTCTAAATTTGCCTCCCATCTCCTCCTGGAGGAGGTGGTTCACCAGCTGGCCTTGTCTGGTGCCCCCTTGGACTTGCCTCCCTCCTCCCTATGCCTCTGTGTGCCACCAGGGATCCAAAGGGATGTTAAGAGGGCATTTTATGCAATTGATCACCAGTTCAAGAAGCTCTTCCTGAAAAGGGGACATTTAGTCTTTGCTTAAATATTTACAAGGGGTAAGCTCACGAATGCTTCTTATATAATTGCAGTCTACAGTCAATGTAAACATACTCATTGGTCTAGGTTCAACCTCCTGGAGAAACACAGGACAAT